GGAGGGTTGGTAGGTCAAGGTGGTAGGAGGCCTTTCAGCCTGGGATGGGAGGGGAGAGGTTATCTGGGTGAGAAGGGGTGACTTCTGTAGAGGGCAAAGGAGGTGAAATGAGATGGTGGGGAGAGGGAGGAGAGCCCTTCTGGCTCCTGGGCACTGTGGCTGTGAAGGGCCGCAGCGCACGTGCCCAGCTGAGGCTGGAGGCTGGTTCTGTGGTGCCACCCATCTGAGCCATGCTGGGGTCTCTCTCCCCTAAGAGCAGCCCCGCCTCCCACCATCCACTCCTGCACTTAAATCCTCCACCCAGGAGTGACCCTGAGGGTGGATAAGTGACAGGTCCCCTGTAGCAAAACAGGGTTTCCTGGGATGAGCTTCCTATGGTGTGTCCTCGGTGGAGACGTGGGAACGTATTCCTCACAGTGGCCTCTGAAACTCCAGTGACACCTTGTTTTGGAGGCAGCTGGACTCAGGCTCCACATGGAAGAAGTTGCTGGGATTAGGCTGGAGGAAAGGCAGATAGCGAGTTTATTTTTAAACCCAAGTGGGCACTACAGCTGCCAGCAAGATGCAGACGGCTCTTGGGGAAATGGAGATTGGCAGCCGGTCAGACACTTGTCAGGAAGCCTGGAGGCTGCCAAGTGGGCAGGGGTTCAGGTGGCTGAAGGCCAGGACTGAGTGTGAGGGTCTGCGGGGGAGGAGGGGTCAGCAGTTAACCCTTCAAAGCCTGACGCCAGCATGGCCCGAGGAGATGGCAGGGCCTGGGGGACTGAGCAGGAAGGATAGGCAGATCTCAGCTAGGTTGGGCTGACCCCTGGGGTGACAGGAGCTAGTGAGAATGACTGTCCTGTCCCCTCACCAGAGGTGGGTCAGGATTCGTCTCCACCTGTGGTCCCACGGACTGTGTGGATAGCTTTGTGCAAAAGGAAAGGGAAGTGAGAAGTCTGCTAGGCCCTTGCAGCTCTCTGTGCACGGAAGACCCCTAAAATCCCCTTGCATTTGGGGGAGCCAAATGTCATTAGTGCTGAGAGCTGACCTGGAATGCAGCCTGTGACCAAGTGGCAGTCCCTCGCCCACACTCTGCATGGAAAGCCACCAACCTCATGAGGGGTGGCCACAGGTTCTGGTGGTGACGGGTCCCCTAAGGACTCCTGCACAGTCGAGGGCTGCGAGGGCACATTTCAGGACCTGTCACCAGGGATGGTCTTTAGGTTTTAACAGTTCAGGCCTCTTGGAGGACACAGCAACAACAGTCTGAGTCATAGCACTGACCAGTGTTTATCTCTTTCCTTTACTGTCAACACCAGAAGGCCAGAGGAGCCCCGGCCAGCAGGCGCGGTTTCTGGGAATGGTTGGAGGCTTACGGGAGTCTTCCTCAGCGCCAAGCCCCCTAGCTGGGGCCGCTTCTGTCTCCGCTGACATTCTGGAAAGGTCGATAGAAATCTCATTTTACCTACAGCAAGTTCCCGGGGGCCAGAGCCCCTTTCGGGGCAGGACGAATCTGTATCCTCACTCTAGATTAAGTTAAAATTCCCCAGTCCTGCTGACATGCTGACTCCTCTCGCCTTCTAGAAAGGACTATACACACAGGTTCCCTCTAGCCTTTGAGGAGACAGTGTCCACTGTCCCTGCCCACGTTTTGCCGTAGTTGTCTGTTCCCTCTTCTGTCCTTGCTGTATTTCAAAGCTTCCTGGGTTTAAACGTTGCTACACAATAGCATCAGCTATGGCCGCACGGAGCTGTTGAGCACTGGAAATGAGGTAGTTCAAACCCAGGTGTGCTTTAAGTGCAAAATATACCCCTGATTTCAAAGACTGGGTGTAAAAAAAAATGTAACATCTCAATCATTATTTTGTGTTGATTATACATTGAAATGAGAATATTTTGGATATATTGGATTTAATAAATTAAAATTGTCTTTACCTGTTTTTTAATTTTTAATACGGCTACTAGAAAGTTTAAAAATGCACATGTAGCTTTTGTGGCCTGCATTCTATTCCATTGGATAGCACCGGTGTAGACACCGGATGAGCCATAATGAACTTCTCGTCGTTCCTTCAATCCAACAAGCCGAGCACGCAAGGTGCAGTTGGGCTAAGTGACCCCAGCTCTCCATCTGGGCCACCTTCAACTCATGAGGGAGGACACCACAGGTGCCCACACATCAGCCTGACAAACGTGGTTGGGAATTGAAATCTGTAGCCACGATCCCCTCAGAAATCCTCACCAGATGAGCTTTGGTTTAAGGAGAGGGACCCAGAGGCTGGAGTGCTGATCTTCTGAAAGGATTTTCTACTTTCAAAAAAAAAAAAAATGTACCTGGGAATTCTTTGCAATAGGTGGCCTCGCAGCAAATTTCAAATTCCTGGTTGAACTCGGCACCGTTTAGGGACCACTCTGCCTGCACGGTGTCCTGGAGCCAGACTCGGTCCTTCCAGTTGTTCCGTTTGGGCCAGACCTGATGCTGGAGTCCAGCCCACGGAGACTGATTGCCTCCTGGCCAGCAGGAGGAGGTGTGCTGGCGTCACCAGGCAGGCAAGATGGGCAGAGGGCTCGGCGCCTCCCTGGCATCCCCTCGCTGTGCTCAGAAGCCTCCTGCACCTGTGTGCGCCCACACAGGCACCACCTGGAGCTCCGGGGGCCGGCCCCAGGCTGAGAGCTGTCCGGTGACTGCATGGACCTTTAAGAGCCTCACCTGTGTCCCCTGTGTCTGCCCTGCTGCCATTGGTTTGCCAGAAGACACCCATTTCACTACCTCCAGGGTCAGCTGAAGGACACATCAGCCTGGGACAGACTGGGAACTGGGGACTGAGAAGGGGTTAAGCATCAGGACGGAGAGGTTGAGAGGCAGGAGCAATGGAGAAAGTTAAAAATAGCGTTATTCAGCCCAGAGCAAGGAAGACAAGGGCACAGCTAGACTTCGGCTCATGATGGACTGGTTGGAGAATGAGTCTTGCTTTTTCATCCCGCACTCTGAATGGCAAGAGGCTGACCTTCTGCCAGGAGAGACTGGAGTTAGATGTCACCCAGTGTCCTGGGGGGATGGAGATGTCCGAATAGGGCAGGGACCAGAAATCGAAGCTGAACGTGGCTCTGTGTCCTGTTTTTTCTGCTTGTGAGCCCAGGTTGTCCCTGGGGTGTCTGGGACTGGGGCTGTGAGCCCAGAGCTTCTAGCTGCCACCACCAGCTTGGGGCTGCTATTTCTTCCTCCATTCTGTCTGTCTTTCCCTTCCCTGCCCCCACCTCCTTCCTCCTGTCTTGTCCTGAGCAAGCAGAGCTTCCAGAGCCGATCCTCCAGCTCACGGCACCGTGGAGGGAAAGCTGGGAATGACGTTTTCTGGCTCAAACTCAGCCCCAGCCAGGGGAGGGAAGAGGTAGAAGAGCAGATTCCCAGCTGGCCAGGAGCCCGGTGCCCTGGGACTGGACAGGGTAATGGTTTTGTCCAGTGTTTTGGAATCTCTTGGAAGGTGAGGAGAGGCTTCTCTGGCTTCAACCATAAAAGGGAAGTTGGGTCTCCTGCCTTTGGTCAAATGCTCTCCTACTTACTCGCCTTCTACTTTGCAGAAGCCAGAGGAGGGCACAGCTGTCTTTGTTGGGCGAGCCGAGAGCGGAAGGGCCAGGCCTCCGCCCCGCCAGCCCATTTCCTCACTGGGAGTGGAGACGACGCCCCTTCCTCCCAGCCTCCCAGCGCTGTCCTGGGTGCTCACTGCCTGCTACAGCACCCCAGGCTCATGCTCCCTCCAGGGCCAGAGTGGACAGGCAGGGGACATGAACCACAGAACAGTCATTCACAAAGGAAAGACACAAGGGTGGTGTGAGCTCCATGGAAGCCCCAGGATGTGATCTTTAATTGATGCTCCTGGACCTGCCTCCCCACCCCCTAAACCCAGATGACATATGTACAGGATGCCGTTGGAGCCAGGCCCAGCCCAAGTGACGCAGCCGCCCTCCTCCCTGGGCACCACCAGGGCAGGCACTTGCCAGGGCTGGGCAGGAGGATGCAGACAGCTGGGAGCCAGGGTGGTCTGGTCACAGGAAGTCTTACGTCCTACACCCCCACCCCCACGTATGCAGGCACACACAGACACACCCACGTGCACACAGGTGTTCCCACTGTGCGGATGTGGATTTGAATGCTTGTCCCTAGATGCAGTGCCACCTGTGCACACGTGTACCACCAAAGGATGGATGCTTTAAGGTATTGCAGCAATAGTGCAAAACCCAGCCCCTGCCCCTCTCAGCAGGTGGAGCTGGTGCAGCCCTCACTTGGGCAGTGCCACCTGGAGCTCAGGGAGAGGCCCACTGTTGTTGGGCGCATCCAGCCACCAAGAAGGACCAGTGGGTCCCAGGCCCCAGCCTGACCCTGAGGACGATGTGGATAAACACGGAGCCATTTCCTCCATAATGCTCCTCAAAAATGCCCCAGAAGCAGAGGGACTCAAACAGGCAGCTCCAAGGCCCTGGGGTGTTCAGAACCTCCTGCTGAGTCTGAGCGGGGTATCACTGGAGACATCCATTTGTGGCTTTCATCCGTAAGGTAGCTGGTCCCTCATCTGGTTCCTGCCAGCTAGCTTGTAGGGTCAAGGAGCCAGAGCTCCTCCATCCCAAGCACAGGTCATGAGGGAAGGCCATGGGCACGACTTTCCGTGGGAGGACTGAGAGATTCTGCCAGCCTGGCCTGTCTTTCAGGCTCAGCTAGAGCAGGGACCAGAGGATGACATAATGTGGGAAACATCTGTAAACTTACTGCTCGGCCCTGGAATGGGGTTAGGGAGTGGAATGGGTTTGATGGGGCCTTGAGGACTTTTCTAGAAGCCTGGGAGACCTGCCCTTTCCTACCTCCTCTTGCACAACCCAGGCAGAGCCCCTAACCCTCCAGGCACTGGGCCACCTCCGGCCTTCTCTACCTAGGAGAGTCCTCCCTGGAAAGATGGCCCAGCCTGGGACCTCTAGGCCACACCAGGGGGCACCTAAACCCTGAGTCAGCCCCAGAATCACCCTTCTTGAAAGGGGAAAGGTGCCATTGTATTTCAGGGACTATATTTTTCTAGACTTCCCTCCCCCAAATACATGCGTCCTGGCAGGGACAGCAGGACAGTCATTTTGGAACTGAAGACAATCTGGGACATGTGGTTGCTGTGCCCATAATCTAGGCCTTGGGCACGGCGCAGGCAGCTTTGGTTTGAATCAGCACTCGAACCTCCTCTGGGCTCAGCGGGGCTGGGTGGAAGGGGCAAGTGGGGACGCCCAGCCCCTGCCGTGCTTAGTGACAGGACTCCAGGTGTGGTCATCCCAGGGCAGGGGGCAGGGCACCCAGGGGATGGCCACATCTCGGCATCTCTGGGCCCTCCTGCAAATGTCACAACATCCCCACAACTGCCCTGGCTCCAGCACCCCCAAGGTTACATTCATCAGTTAAGATTCAGTTAAAAATATGTGGATGTCAGCCCCTTCCCCCAGGTCCCAGAGAGCAAGGCTGGTTTTGAGGAGGGGCCATCCCAGGCCGTGTCCACTGGTGGCTGCCTGGGGGCATTCCTCCAGGCCCCCCAACTTGAGCTGTGGCAATCTGTGATGATGGAAGCTACATTCACACAGGGAGAGTAGGTGTGCAAGGCCAAAGCCGCATGAGGTGGGTGGGGGACCAGGGAGGAAGTGCCCTCCAGGCTTGGTCCACCCTGGTGGTGTGAAGAGCAGGGCCACAGCCCCCACCCAAACCCCTGTGGAGCAGGAGTTGAAGGGTTTGGACCTGGAAGACATTTGCTCGGCGCCTCCCTCCGTGGCTGGACAAGGGTGGCCTCGTGGGTCAGGGCCGAGACGGTGGGTGCCAGGCTCGGAGGGAGGGCGTGGCACTTAGGCCCCTCCGGATCTGGAAGGGAGAGGGGGCATCAGAGGAGGACACACGAGGCAGGGCCAGAGAGAGAGCCCTCCAGCGGGGCCCCGGGGGGTCAGTGCTGGGCCCTGGAGGCAGCAAGTCACAGGCTGGCCAGGGAGGGGATCTGGCGGAAGGTCAGACAGTGGCAACATGGAAGACAAAACAGATGGGACACAGAGGGAGGTTCCCTCCCCAGGGGATGGGGACTGCGGGGGCACAGTTCCAGGGGCCACCTGGCCAGAGTGCCAGGCTGTAGGAAAGGCAGCAGTAGATGGAGCGTGGCCTGAGAGGAGGGGTGGGTGCGGGCTGAGGACTGAGGACTTCCTTCCCAGAGCAAGGTTCTCCCACCCCTGGCGTGACAGGAGGCAGCAGGGCTGGGGGTTCAGCCCCCAGCTCCCCATCAACAGATCGCGGGGTGACGAATGAGATGGAGGAGACAAAGACAGCGGGAGGGATGACGTGGCCGGCGTCACACTGCCCCCTGCTGGGTCGGGTCATACCTTCCTCGGCGGATGTTTCTTCAGGAGCCACGGGGAGGACAGGCGGGAGAGAGGAAAAGGAGCGTCTGACTTTCCCTTCTTTCTTGGGGGGCCTTCCAGCTCCCATGAGACCCCCCACTGCCCCGCAGTGGGGCAAGGGTCGCAGGGCCTGGACAGTAACCACAAGGCCAGGGAGAGATACCGAGGACATCTACCAACAATGGGTCTGGGGTTTGAGTCCGGGCTCTGTCACTAACTCACTGTATGACCCTGGGCCTCAGGTTCCTTCTTTGCACATTGAGGGGGTCAGACCAGCTCAAGGACCCCAAATTTAGATGCTCACGGGGCATCATAGGCTGGGTGAGGACTGGGGATGGAGGACACACGCCTGCCTCGGGCAGCCCCTGCTGAGCTCCACACCATGGCTAAGCGGGAATTTTCGGAGACCAGCTGGGATCCAACCTTCTCATTTTTCAAGAGAAGCTGGAAATCAGGATTGTCAATGTAAAATCTCCTGTGGGCTGGCTTGGCCTGTGATACGTGAGCTCCGGCTTAGCTAACCTCTCAGGGAGGCCCCTCAGCTCTAACAGTCAGGGGTTCTGATCCCCCCGAGGATGCCAGGGGTAGGGGTGTGTGTGTGTGTGTTTCTTACTTAAATCCCCAGCCCGTGCCTCCCAGGACGATGGCTGCAACCAGGACAGCCCCAGCGATAGAGCCAATGATGATGTTGGTGCCGCTGGGACCTGGGGAGGAGGGCAGGGCTCAGTTGGCAGGGACAGGCGTGGAGAGTGGGAAAGACAGACCCACCCTGGCCAGCTCTGGCCTCACCCTTATATCTTTCCGTCTCTCCCGTGGGTGGAGATGTGGGCAGGGGGTTGTGGATGCTGCAGTCTTTGCCTGTCCAGTCTGGCTGGCAGATGCACTTCCCTTCGTTGCTGCAGACCTAGATGTGGGGCGGTGCCAGCAGCAGTGAGTAGGGGCCTGTCCCCTCTTGTAAGCCTCTCCCTCTGCCCCCAGCCTCCAGGCACCCACCCCATGGTGGGAGCAGATCCGGCGCTCCCCGCTGCCGGGGCAGGTGCTGAAGTTGAAGGCAGAGGCTGGCAGGCAGCGATGGTCCAGGCACAGCATGTTCGGCCCGCAGGCTGTACCGTCCTCCACATAGCTCAGGTCAGAACCATCGGCCAGCTGCACATGGCCCCCCCTGGGGAAACGGGACAGCCTCAGCCCCGGCCCCTAACCCCAGTCACAGCAGCAAGCTCCCTCCCCCAGCCATGATTCCAGCCAACACCTGCAGTCCAGCTCCTTGCCCTGGTGGTAGAAGGTGACACTGTTGATGTCTCCTCCCAGGTCCCCCAGCCGAGGAGCTCCAGAGATGTTGACGCAGAGGAGAAAGCCACAGAGCACGTCCCTGTTGGCACACATAGAGACAGTGAGCCCCACGTCTGACCTGAGATCCAACTCCTGAGCTCTAATCTGCCCTCACCCTGCCACCCTATTTGTCACATACTCTCCCACTGGCACTCACAGGCTCCTCCTAGGAGAACCTGCTGCCCCAGAGCTGGGGAGGCCCCATAGAAGCTTTGGCTACTTACTGCTTATTGCACTGGACCCAGCCTGATCCCTTGCGCCCACAGTTCCCACGCTCTGTCCCCTCCACGTTGAGCTTCTCATAACAGAAGCGATCAGCAGCCACTGTGGGGAGACGGTGCCAGCTGTCACCCCCCGCACCCCAGAACCCACCCTAAGACCTCAGGCCTGTACCTCCATCACTCTGGCCTGACCCCAGTCTGGCTGGGTCCCTGGGATCCTGCGGAGCCACACATTTGGTGGGGGGCCTACTCAGCTGGAACATGCCCACCCCCCAGCCTCTCGATTCTGGGTCCTCCAGAGTCCCCTCTCCCATCCCTAGACTCACCATGGCCCCAAAGGGCCTGGCACTGCCGGTCCCGGGTTTTGCAGCGACCTCCGTAGCAACGGCCCTGAGAGACAAACAGGAGGCAAGAAACAGGGACACTGAGTGGTCAGAGTGGAGACAAGATAAGGGACTGCACTGAGCCCAGAGGGGGAACCCCCAGCCATCATACCTGCTCGTGGTCACAGTAGTAACCGTCCAGCTTGTGCAGGTTAGGGGGACACTGTGGAGAGAGGAACATGGCTGAGCAGAGCAGCCACAGGCCTGGGAGCCGAGGCCTGCCCCAGGGGAGGAATGCAAGAGTACCAAATGCCCCCATGTGGGGGCACATCTTGCAGGGCTCTTCCACAATGACAAGGGGTCTGAGAGCACACAGATTCGCAAGCCCCAGAGCTGTGCCAGCCTCCCTCGGTTTCCTGCACGTACCTCTTAGGGCTGGGAGAACTAAATGCGTGGCACATAATTAGGATTTAATAGATGTTAACTAATATTATCCGCTCTGATCCCTGGCACACACCAGGCACTGCGCCAGGTGCTGGGAATACTAGCCAGACTGTAAATATTAGTTTAATGATTGAAGGAACAAAGCCAGGGGTCAGATAAGGAAACTGAGTCTGGTCAGCGGGGGCGACGCCAGCTACGGAGTGGAGGGGCGTGGAAAGTAGTCGTGTTGCAGAACCGAACCGATACGGGTAGGGGTTGCCTCGCCCGGGGCCCCGCAGGACGGCCCGGCCGGGCGGACCTGGCTCGAGTCCCCGGTGCAGGTCTCCGCGATGTCGCACTCGTTCACGGCCTCTCGGCAGGACACACCCCGCGGCTCGTACTAGGGAAGGGATGCGTTCCCTGGTTCAGGTAGGATACATGCCTCGGCCCCGCGCTCCCCCGGGACCCCGCCCTTACCCGGGATCCGTCCCTAAGCCCCCACCACTCCTGGGCCGCTCCCCGCCCCAGGCCCGTTCACGCTTCCGCGCCTCCAGTCATTTCTCCGCAAGCTCCCGGCCCGCTCCTCCAGCCCCGCCCTCAACATCCCCACGTGTGCCTCAGCCCCGCCCTTTACTCCCCATTGGCTCTTTCTTCCTGTCAGGCCCCGCCCCAGATTGTCTCGCCCAGGGCTCATCCTCCCTAACTCCCGCCCCTTATCTGACGACGTCCAATCGGCGCTCGTTGGTCCTGGCCCCGCCTCCTCCCGTCCCCGGGCGGGTCCTCCTCACCTTGCAGCGGCGACAGCAGAGCCCGTCGCTGCACATGGCGTCGTGAGTCAGGGTGCATTTCTTGCAGCAGTTGCCACCTGCGCGGCTGCACTCCTAAGGAATGCGGGAGAAGGGGGAGAGGCGGGCGCGCCCTCATCTTCCCCGCTGCTCCCTGGTCCCCATCCCGCGTGCCCCGTCCCACCTGGCGCCAGCGCTAGCCGCTCACCTGCACCGAGCCGCAGTCGCACTCCTCCCCCGCCTCCACGAAGCCGTTCCCGCACTCAGGGGGGTCCAGGAGCTGGACCGAGAGGGCGTGTCGGGAGTCTGGCCGGGACCCGGCCCAAGCCCCGCTCCCGTGTTCCCCGCCCTGGGGCTGGTACCTTGAGGGGCTTGTTGAAGAGGCAGCTTCCACCGCCCTCCTGCAGAAACTGGTTGTACTCGTCGATGCTGCAGCGCGAGAACTTGCGGGGCAGGTAGAACCTAGGCAGGGGTGAGGGGACAGTGCCGCTGGGTCCTCCCCTCCAGTCCACCCTCTCGCCCCTTCTCAAGATTGGGGAGGAGGCGCACCGGGTACTCGGTCACCCCCGCGAGGAGCCTGAGGGTCTGTCTGCCCCGGGACTACAAGAGAATCCTCCCGCCTGCCCATCGAGGAATGGGCGGAGGAGGGCGCTCGCGTCTCCTCCTCCAACCTCGAGACTCCGGGCGTGCTGGAGCAGGCAGGCGGGAAGGTGCCTCCGAACGAGGCTTGGGCGGCGCCCAGTGGCGACAGTGTGCACTACAGTCTGGCCAGTTTGGTGTCCCTGCAGGGGAATCTGGGTCTCCCTGAGTAGTGTAGGCAGAAAATTGGGATTCTTGGAATCCTCAGCGGTCTGTGAGCTGGGCCTCTTGAGGCCGTGGGTCCAGACTGCCATCAGTGCTTGCTCTAGGACTCCCTCGCCCAAGACCCTTCCCCCACTTTGTCCCCAAGAACTCACCCAGTGTCCTCCATGATGCAACCCAGCCAGATGTCTGGACACTTGCAGTCCCCTGAGGGGCGAGCCAGGTGGATATGAGGGATGGCCAAGGGGCCACTGTCCCCCGCTTCCACCCTGTTCATTCTAGAGACACTGGCTGTGGGGCTGGGCTGGTTGTGGGGCCCCAAGCGGGTCCCCGAGGGTCAATACCTGCCGAGCTCCGGTGTTTGTTCCACATCATGCCCAGGTTCTGTCCCAGCGTCTGGGCCAGGGTCACTGCCATGGCCCCCATGTTGCCATACTGGGGGTGAGGAAGATGGAGCACAAGGATGTCCACGTCCTTCCAACAGGCACTTTGTGCCTTCCCAGGCCCTCTCCCGCAGCTGCCGCCCAAGCCAGGTCCCTTCACTGCTCACCTCATTCACACCCCCGCCCCGAGATAGCGAGCAGATGCCCCCCACGTAGGCTGCTCCACTGCTGGTGCTCTGGAAAGTCCTGCCCCTGGAAGGGAGAGGGTTGTCAGGATAACCTCCTGCCCTCCCCTGATGCTAGAGTCCTTCCTTGGGGAGGTAACACTCGCCTTTCACATCAGCCTGGGTGACCTCGGTAAGCCCCGCCCCTCTTTGGGTTCGTTTGCTCATAAGCCAAAGGAAAGATTCCTGTGAGATGAGCTCTAGTCGCAAGGCCCCTTTATTCGACTTTTTCCCCCTACCAGGGCTCTGGGTCCCTGAGGAAAGGGTGTTGGGACAGTTTGAAAGGGGAAAGAGGGGACTAAGAGGAGGTGAGGGGCAGAAGAGGACCACCAGGGCCAATGTAAAGGGCATCAGCTTAAGATGCGGGGGACGTGCCCAGCCTGCTGCATGTGGCTGGAAGCAGCTGGCAGGTGCAAGGTGAGCCCAGTCCCCAGACTCTGAGAAGAGCACCCGGCACAGGGCAGGGCTAAGTCACCCTAGGCACTGCAGCAACCAGCGAAGGCTGGCAGGTGTGTGGAGTGGGGGACTTACGAGAAGAGGTGGGTGGCATCGCTGGGCTCAGGCAGACCTTCCCGCCGGTAGACCATGAGCCGGGCCAGGGTCTCCAAGAGGTCATCCTGCACCTGGATCTTGTCCCCATCTGCCCATGTTTCCATGGCAACCAGCACGATGCGGGTGTTGAGCTGCTCCTTATACATCTGGGCCCAGAGGGGAGAGATGAGGGGACTAGAGGGTGGGAGTGGGTGTGGGGGGACAGGGCTGGAGGAGGGCCTTGGTCTGTCCCTCCAGGAAGTAGGGGCCAGAGGCTAACAATGCCCCCGGGATGTGTGTGGCAGGGTAGGGGGTGAGGGAGAGGGAAGGGAGAGAGGATGGCTCACCACATCAGCCAGGTTCACCACGGACTTGGCAAAGTTGCTGGTGAGGACCACCGACTGTCGCATCTGCTCGAACTGGGAGCGAGAAGAGTGGGAGGAGGATGACGACCTTTCTGGGCCCCTCCTCCCAGTGTCCCCCCCAGCCTGGGAACTCACCAGCTGGTGGTCATTGATCACGATCAGCTCCACGTACTTGGTCTCGCTGTGCACCGTAGGGTGGCCCCGGCGGACCTGGGAGTGGGTGGGCACTTGGAATCAGTCCCCTCCATGTCTGACTTCACAGCTAAGCTAGGGACAGATTCCATGAGAGGGTGTGTGTGGGGGGGTCTCAGCTCCAGCCAGAGGCAGTGCCAGTCCCTCACTGGCAGAGGGTCCCCTCGCTCCCCAGCTTTGGATGAGGGCAGGCAGCCTCGGTTTGCCCTCCATGGGGACCTGTGTAGATGCCAGTGTTTGGAAGGGGGTGGGAGGGCTCTTCCTAGAGGTGGCCCCCAGACACAACAGTCTGAGCCTTCCTTTGCCCCAGCCACAGATGGGGGTGTCGTCCTGCTCTGGGCACGACCCGAGGTCTGTGCAGCCCGAGGTCTGTGCGGGCCCCCGTACCTGCCTTTTCCTTCTCAGCCTTGGCCGGTCTGGAGGAGCAGACTGGGCAGGGGCAGCAGAGAGGCAGCCTGTGGGGAGGCGCCAGGTGAGGAGGGCACAGCCAGACCCCCCCCAGCCCCCTTTCCCTCCCTTACCTGGTTCCCTGCATCCGAGAGGGGCTGGGAGGAGAGGGGTCCGGTAAATGAGGTGGGGAAGGGGTCCCTGCAATGAGGGGGAATTAGTTCTTGGGGGGCCAATGAGGTCTCCTCTGGGCCCAGTCGAGGGGGACAGCTCCAGCCCTTCCTCCCACCCCACCCTGGGGTGACCCAGAACTGGCCAGAGTTCCCATGTCGGATCTGATCTCCCAGATGCTCAGATTCCGGGGTCAAGACCTGGGGGTGCCCTGAGAGACAGGGGCAAAGGACATTGGAGCCCAATGGGAGGTCACTTGAGGGACAGAGGGGACATTGGAGCTGGGGGCACAGGGGAGGAACCAGAGCCGGGGTCACTGAGGAGGGCAATGAGGCTGGGGTTACTGAGGGAGGAGGAGGAGGAGGTGGCAGCAACAGCTCTTGGGACAAGCATGGCAGGGCCATAAGAGGGGCAGCCAGGGGCTGTGCAGGGCTCACCTGGGGGGCTCCCCAACGCCCAGCCATCTCTTGGGGCTCCATGATATAAGTCAAGTTCCCATCAGAGAAGACCCCACTGTGGAGAGAGAGGCATAGCTCCCTACTGTCCCCAGGCCTGGGTAGGGGGCTCATTCCTGCTGCCCAGCCCTCCCCATACTCACTGTAGCCCCTGGCAGGTGGAGAGGGCAGCAAAGGAGTGCGGGTTCCCCCGCAGCTTGCCCTGGTAGTAGCAGTGGTCTCCAGCTCCCTGCAGGAGAGAGCAGCGACCAGTGAGCAGGACATGGCCCCGCGTGGCATGAGGCAGGAAGATGGCGACAGGCCTCAAAGCTTTGCAGGAGCCACCGAGCTGCCCTGTGGGCAGGCGGCCGCAGTCCCTGGGTACACCTGGGGCCCTGGAGCCTGGTGCTACACTGGTGGTGCTCCTAATTTGTTGTGTCACCCTGGGCAAGTTCCTAGCCCTCTCTGCACCTCCTTCATCTCACCTATAAAATAAGGACATTGGACTATAGCAGTGGTTCTTAGCCACTTGCTGGGGCCGGTGAAAGGATCATAGGTTCCTTGGAGAATAGCAGTTAACATTTATTTAATACCTACTATGTGCCAGGCACTGCTCTGAGCACTTACCACATACTATCTCATCTAATCGATGACCACTATGGACTCACTCCACACACACACACACACACACACACACACACACACACACACAGCGTCTCCATGGCTGCTTCCTGGATACCCCTGCACACATGGTCTGTGGCTGAGGAGTCTGAGCAGCTTGTGTCCTCCCGGCTGGGCTCATGGGTCAGAGGGGACCAGCAGCGCCCTCCTCCCCCAACTCTGCTTCCTGCAGAATTACTTGTGCTCCAGTTACTGAACAGGCGGGGTAGGGGGGGGGGCGGCTATTTATAGACACTCATTCATCTTTGTTTAGGCTCCAGCCTCCAGGGCTGGGACCCTGGTGTCCCAGGCAGCCGGGAATTCCTGTGGTCTTAGTCTGAGCAAGACGGTGCATTTCCTCAACTGTCCCCTCCCAGAAGAGTCTTTGGAGGGGAGATTCTGACACAGCGGGCATGGAACAATGAGGGTCCTTGTATGCCCTGCGCAAGGCAGGGTGGCTGGCTGGGAATGAGACCTCTGGGGCCCTGAGCCCCCTCACCATTCAATCTGCCACTGCCGATCCTCGCGGCCTCCCAGGTGGGGAGAGATGGGAGGTCCCAAGGGGCCAGGCCCATGCTGAGTAGACCCCTGATCCCATCTCCACCATCACCTGCTCCTACATCATTGACTTCAGAAACAGAACCTCCACTCCACCTCCCCTGTCCCCTTCCAAAGGCACTCACGGTGCTGTGCTGGGTGGGCCCCTCCCGGCTGAAGTGACGCTCCACGTATTGCGAGGAGAGCAGGTGACTGAGATGGAGCGGGCAGGAGGAAGGAGGGGGTCAGGTTTGGGTCCTGCCCAAGCTCAGGATCCAGGTGCCCCTGCCCCAGCCCCCCTCCCCATCCTCCTCCTCCCCAGCCAAGTCCAGGCCATGCTCTGCCCACCCCACCTGCTGCCCTCTTCCCAGGCTCAAGGCCGCACTCACTGGTTCAGCTCCAGGTCCAGGGTGAAGTTTGAGTTGAAGGCTGGGATGACGAAGCTCACCTGGGCCAGATGGACGGGCTGTTGTGGGAGAAGGCAGATGGGGAGTCAGTCTGGGGACGCCTGAAGGTGGGAGTCGGGGGAACCCCAGGACAGAGAGTGGCCCCAGGGAGAGGATGACCGAGCCCCAGCAGCTCAGGAAACCACTGAGTTGGGGGCGAGATTCTTTGCACAAGCCCCTCTTCCTCCAGACGCTGCTTCTTCACTGGGCGGCAGGGGCAGGAGGCTCATCCCCTGGTCCGGCCCACCCCTGCCCTCTGGAGCAGTAGGGGTGGAGAGGGCAGCTCAGCCTGCCCCTGCCACATCATGGCCAGTCACCCTCAGGCGGGAAAAAGGGAGGCCCAGAAGTGTCATGGGAAGGCGACAAGGGTCCGTAGAGGGGGCAAACAAGAGATGGGAAGCAGGCCCCTCATTTCCTGGTCCCTACCCTGGGCCCAGCCTCAAGTGACACAGGAGGCCTCAGGCCGTGCAGATGGGGCTGGGCCCCCGGAAGCTGGGGCAACGGGTAGCTGCCACTGGTCAGGAGCAAAGGGCTTGGCTCCTCTACCCCCAAATCCATCGCCCTCTGCCTTGCCCAAAGCAGCTCATCTTTAATATTTCAATCCCATGGTTAATTTTTAAACACGGAAGTTTTCCTGATAAATTTTTCAGAGGGGCCCGTGCAGTGGGGCTGGGAGGCTCCAGGTCGCCATGGCAACGTACCAGGCCTGAGCAGGATGGCTGCCCTTCCAGCCTGGCGCTCTTGCGGGGGACAAGACTTAAGAGCTGAGGGTACCTGAGTCCCAACAGCCCTAGGGCCACACCTGGGGAGGCTCCCTCGTGCCATCCCGGCCTCAGGCCTTACAAAAGATCTCGAAGCTCGGGAAGGGCTGAGAGGATGCAGGGCTGGCAACTTCTTCCCCCCACCCTTGTTAGTATAAGAAGACTGACCTCCAGATACCCAGATGAGGGTCACCCCACTCTGCCCTGCAGACCAGGAGACTTTTGTTCACTGTCTTGCTTTTGTGGGTGTGGGGCAAGTTGCAGGAAGGAAGGGAGCCCCGGTGTCGATGTCATGGAACCCCACAGCCTGCTGCTGGGGGGCTCCTCATCCACCCCCTAGTCCTTACTAATCTTTACCAAGCGCTTCCTGTGTGCCAGGCACTGGGCTAAAGACCGTGCCCGTGTTATCGTATTGGATCTTCACAACAAGCCCATGAGAGACCTGCTACTGTTATTCCTGCCTGACCGTGGGAAAACCAAGGCACAGGGAAGGCTAACTAACTTGCCCAAGGTCACACAGCTAAAAAGTGGTGGAGCTGGGATTCAAACTAGGGAATCTGCTTCCTGGGCCTTCTCACCCCGAAAGTGAGGCAAGATGGAAGTGGGTCCAGCATCCACACGAGGCCCTGGGAGCCGGGCAAGGTGGGGTGAAGGGCCAGTGCCCAGGTGGGCAGGCCTCTGAGCCCCAAGGACACTGACTCACCCCATCCCTGGACCAAGGCTCCCGGCTCCATCCTGAGCCCCTACAGCATCGATCAGACTCGAAATAGAAAGTCAAGGGCAAGGCGTCACTGCTTCCTTCTCCCCACCCCCTTGGCCTAGACCATCTCTGCCCCCCGCCCCCCATGCTGGTCCAGGCCAGCTCTATCTCCACCTCCAGCCCCCACACCTAGACCATCCCTGCCCTCTTCTCCCCTCGGAACCCCTCCTGCCTGTTCCGTCCACCCGCACCGACCAGCCGGTCCCAGCCCCCGCACTGGCTGCCTGGATCCCTGGCCGTGGTTCAGCTCTCACCCTGTGCAGCCTCAAGGGTGACCCAGCAACCTCTCTGAGCCCTAGATTTTCCCACTGAAAACCGTAAGATGAGCCCAGATGCGAGGCTGGGAGGTTGGCTGTGTGGTGAGGACTCGTCCTGGGCCTGGAGGATTCAGGGGGCCTGCCCTGGCGCCAACAGAATCTCAGCACTCGGGAAGTCAGCGAGCCACCCATCAGGCCTCCTCCCCAACTCTGGGGAAAGCCCAGACTGGTGGCACAGCATCACACGCCCTAGGATGCTCTTTGCAGCCCACGGAGCCCTCACTAGCCCCCTTCCCATCAGGACCCGGGGCTCAGGCTAATCAAGGCCCGGGGGTGCTACAAGCGTGGCTGTAAGGCTGGGGGCTGGGCCCGACGGGAGGCAGGCCTGGCAGGTGCTGCAAAGCCCCCAGAGGGTGCGGGGGGCGGGGGAGAAAGGGAAGCCACACACCTAGGCATGTTGGCCTGGCCTGGCCTGACGGGGAGACACAGCCCTGCCCCTTCGGAGGGAGGAGAGGTCAGGCAAAACCATCTCAGTGCCAGGACCTCCGAATCCCAGGCGCCTGAGGAGGCGCCTGCTGGCACAGAGTCCCCAGCGCCCCCGCCAAGCTTTAGGCCAATGTTCCGTCAAAGCCCAGCCGCTCTCCTTGCCCGGCGCTGCCCTGCCCTCATCCCATTATTCCTCTGTCCCTCTGTCCCTCCAGTCCTGCAGCTGACCCTGTGCCCCACACGGGCCTCTTGCTTCCCTGGCCCCAGGGCTCTCACGTGCTCCAGCTCATTTGATCTCAGCCCGCCCAGGCCGTCTGGTTCTGGTTTTACAAATGCCAGGCCAAAGCTCAGGGAGAGACACCTGGAAGCGACTGGCCCAGGGTCACTGCTGGATGCTGGGGAGGTGTGGCCAGAGTCTCACCCTCAGGCTGGAGTTCGTGTTGCCATGAAAGCTGTGGCCCCCCACAGGGGTGACCATTCCCGCCACCAGAGGCTCCCCTGAGGCTGGCCCGCTCCGCCCTCCCAGGCACCTGGTTCAGAAAGACCATGCCTCATCCTCTCGGAGCCCCAGGTCAGGCCCGGCCAGACACAGCGTGCAGACAGGAGGAAGCAAAGAGTCTGCTGAAGTCCCAGAATCACAAATACAGATGCCCAGGCTCTGCCCTGGCCCTGCAGAGCGATAGTCTTGGGAAGGGGGAGACTAAGATCTTTAGAATTCCCAGATGGCCCAGAAAATTCGAGTGTGCAGAGCACTGCTCCCCAAAGCCTCTGGGCGTCGCCCCTCAAACACTGACCCTGAACCTCTGCACCCGAACCGCCATCTCCTCCCTGGAGCCCCGTCTGTGAACCCACACCCGCCCACCCACATAGGCCTTTGGCCCCTCTTCTCTGCTGGGCCTTGGGCACACAGGTCTTGACGTATATGTCTTTTATCACTGATTCAACTTTTCACATGGGTGACCTTTAGTCTTTTGGGCTCAACATTCATGCTGAATGGAAAGACATCACAAGGCCTGAGTGAGCTGCTTCACTCCCTTAGCCTCAGTTTCCCCATTGGTAAAATGGGGTTGTTGTAAGGATTAAATAAAAGCCCCCCAACATTTTTTTTTTGAGACAGGGTCTTGCTCTGTTGCCCAGGCTAGAGTGCAGTGGCATCATCATAGCTCACTGCAACCTCAAACCCCTGGCCTGGAGCGATCCTCCCGCCTCAGCCTCCCAGGTAGCTGGGAGTACAGGCATGTGCCACCATATCTGGCTAATCTTTCTATTTTTTGTAGAGATGGGGTCTCACTCTTGCTCAATCTGGTCTCCAATTCCTGACCTCAAGTGATCCTCCCACCTGGGAGGATCAAGTAATCCTCCCAGAGTGCTAGGATTACAGGCATGAGCCACCACGCCTGGCCTAAAAGCCCTTTTCAATGTGTTATTATCATGAGGGTCAGTAACGATAATAATAAATGAATAAGTAAGTGTACATGTTCTGGCAAAACAGGGCTTAGAGGAACTGGATAAAGATCCCCTTGGATCACCCTCTGTGACAGAGACATGTCAGAACAGTGGCTTTATGCTCTAGATCTGGATGGATTGGGTTGATTTACCTGTGAGGTGTCTCACCTGAGGATATCTTTCTGAAATCCCCTCCCACCCGCTGTGCATGGAGACACCACCACCACCAGCTTGTGGGGAGCTGCAGAGGTGGGGAGGCACCAGAGAGGCAGGGGCCCCACCTGGGAGCATGGCCTGGCCAGGAGAAACCCCCATACCTGCTGACTGCCCCCACGCCCCCAGCAATGTGTGCATGCGCGTGCTCCATTGATCAACAGGGCAGCGGGATTCACAGACAATGAGAAGAGTTGGACCAATTTCTGATGATGGGATTTGACCTAAATTTTTGAGGACAGAGTCACCTCCTTACAGGGTCATCAGTCCCTCTGGGGACAGACTCTGGACAGCTGGGTTCCTCTAGGCAGCCAGGAGGGTGCTCGGGTGAGGCCAAAGCCCCAGGCCAGTCTGGCTGAGGACTGGAGACGGCAGGTCTGCCCAGGTCGTTCTTCCCCTGAACCCCACCCTGAGCCTGACAGGTAACCCCCCAGTGCCCTGGCTCCTGCTTCTGGCACACAGCCCCCATGCAGCATCCGGTGCCTTGGGGATGTTGGGGACGTTGAACATTGGCCCTGGCCAGCTCCCAGGCTGGACGCCTGACATACATCCACCCCTTGCACCCCCGCAGCAGCCTGGGCAGTGGAGACTATTATTGTCCCTACTTTATGAATGGGGAAGGTGGGGTTCAGGAGGCTGCAGTGGCTTGCTCAGGTCACGCAGTCAGAAGCAATGGAGCAGGACCTGCACTAAGGCTGTCCCATCCCAAAGCCACAGCGTACAGCTTTTCAGACTGAAGTTTAGCCTGCATGAACTCCCCCTCACCGCAGGGCTCAGTGCGCATGCCCCACGTCCTCAGGAACAGGTGGGGCCCAGCACAAATTCTAGCCCTGGCTTCCAGCCACCAGCCCCCTCTAAGGAACCCCCTCCTGCCTCCAATCCCAGGACAGAGCTGCAACTTTGACCACAGAGTGGCCTTGACTCTAGTGGGGTACAGGGCCCCAGCATGGCCCCTAGTACCCCCGTGGCTCCCTGCCCATGACTGCCATCTTGCAAGGGCTGGGGCTGAGCCTTACTCACTTGGCCCCCACCCTCCTGCAGCAAAACACAAGACTGCAGCACATGGCCTCTGCTGGGGGCCTCCGGTGGTGTTTCCAGTCAGTGCTGGTCTACGCAGCTCTCATAAGAGCTGGGCCCAGTGACGGGCTCCCCTCCCCCAGCTGGCTCAGATGAGCATCTGTCTCTGGGGGCCTGGGACTCTCTCACCCCCAACCCTGCTCATTTCCCCCCATCCTGCCCTCTCCTTGGTTCCCAAGGAGTCTGGGTCTCCCCAGGGGCCGGCACAGCCCACATGGCAGCTTGCTGTGACTTAGGAAAAGATGTCCTCTCAGAACACGTGCTGCCGTGTGAGCCGTGGCTTCCATTCAGCTCACCCACCCCTCGCCCTGGTGCCCTAGTGCAGTGAACAACCAGCCCAGCTATCCACCGTGGCCCTGTCTGACCCCCTGCCTCACCCCTCGGCTGCAAGCTCCCTGTGACCACAGGTTTCTGCACTTCCAGAAGCTCCCATACTTCTTTGGGCCTCAAGCCCGACCTGCTTCCAGACTGGCCAGCTGTGAGGTGCTGAGAGCAGTGGCAGAGAGAGGGCAAAGGGTCCCCTGTGTTCTTCTTCACTACACCCCTGGGCAAGAGGTGAGCAGTGCACTGGTCAAGGGTCTTGCTCTGGGTACCAATCTGGCCTCTGCTACGGGAGTGCTGTGTCACCAGGGGTAGTTACTGTGCCTCTCTGTGCCTGTTTCCCCACCTGTGAAATGGGAATAACGGCCCCAGCTCCTGGAATTGAGATGAAGATTAAATAAATCAACACATGTAAAGGCAGAAGTGCGCCTGCCTCAGCCAGGGCCCAGTAAATGGTACTTTCTCTTCTAATTCCTTCCTGGCCACCTCTGGTCTCCCCTGTCCCAGCCCCCCAGCCCCCACCGAGCCAGGGTCCTCAGCACGCAAAGCTCTTTCCCGTTTGCCACCTCCCCACGGCAGGTGGGGCGGAAATAGGTTATCGCCATCCTGACTTTAAGGATCAGAAAGGCGAAGCGGCCGGCCCAAAGCCACAGCAGGTCAGCACCCGAGGCCCCACCACCCCGGCCCTGCCAGCAGCAGGTGGCCCCCGAGTCGCCACATGACCAGATGCTGACTCAACTTCTGGTTGGCCTGAAGTTCCAAACCTGCAATAACTTTAGGACAAAACTGAAGCAGTGCCCGGCTGGGGCACTTCTGCTGGGATATGGGCTCGAGGCTGCACTGGCTCCACCATCAGCCCCAAGGTCCTGTGGCCAGAAGTGCTTGAACCCAGGGAAGAAATGCCAAGTGGGAGGTTGAGGGTTTGCCACGTCTCCGTCCAGTCAGGGGAAAACAGTCTGGACATGTCTTTTTGTGTCCTTTGGCTTGAGTTGAGAGAGTGCCCCTGGACCCAAATCCAGAGAATCCTGGAGGCAGAACAGTACAGTGGGAAGTGCTCTAGTCTTGGAGCTGCTTAAGATCTGCTTGATTTCAGGAAAGTTACTTAACCTCTCTGAGCCTTAGTTTGCTCATCTGCAAAATGGGGCAGACAGAAGTTACAGGCCTTAGAGAGGTGTGAGAATTAAGTGATGTAATGCGCATTCAGAGCCGAGCACAGTGCCTGGCCCAGAGAAGTCTACAGCTGTGGCAGCCTTCTGCTTCACCACCAGGGCAGATCCTCCACCTCAGGGGAAACTGAGGCACAACTAAGGCAGGGCTCTGAGCAAGTCCCCTGGGGAAGGCTGCCTCGAGGTCCTTGGGAAGTCTCAGACTTCTGCTAGAGGTGACCAATGCCCCACAGATCCAAAGAACTCTCCACTCCCACCCCAGACCCTCGAGACCTCCTTGGGTGTATTTGGACGCAGTCACTCACATCCACACCACGCATGTGCACGCACCACCCACTCACCCAGCAGAACACCCAAAGAGTCCCTCAATCCATCCAGTTCAACTGCACCCATCCAGATCTCCCCCCAGAGCCTATGCTCTTCAGAAAGGGCTGGGCTGAAGAAGCGACCTGCCCCGCTAGAGTACCCCACTTTTCATCCCTCCCGGTCCCCATGCTTCCCCTCATCTCTGACTCCTGACCCCAAGGTGGCATCACTCCATCCCCCAATCTGCACATCCCCTGAAGCCCATGCTAGAGGCCCAGCAGACAGGTGGGTCATCAGCTCCCCCTCAGTGCAACCGTGGGGTGCACAGCTCACAGGTGGGGAGTGACACCAGGGAAGAAAGCCAGACTGAGCAGCCGGGCCACTCCATCCCTGGCCCTGGGACCATCCCCACTGCCCACCCAACCCCTCCCAGGGAGCCTGGGCAGGCACTGAAGCCAGCCTATCCCCGTCCCCACCCCCACCGCCCGCCAGCCCAGGACCATCAGCCCCCTCCCCACCCGCCCCCTCCAGCTTGCTCGGCGCTGCCCTGAGCCATGGTCCATCTATTATGCATGCTGCCTTCCTGCTCCATTCCATTTCACGAGTATTCCCCACCCCTGCACCACCCCACATCCCCCTCCACCACCACCCTTAAGGGCTTTTAACCAAGTGCATTAGGCAGGGCCAGATGCCAGTCTGACAGATGTCCATAATGGCAGCCTCCGGTTCCCTCCTTCCTCCCTCTGCCCAGCCAATCCACCTCCCACCACTCCCAGCTGCCAAAACTTCCCAGACCTGGATTGTACCCCCACTCCGAGCCTCTCCTCTACACCTCCTATTTCTGCCAGGCCTTGGCCATGCAGCCCTCTGCTGCCCTGCCGGCCCGGCTAACTTTTGGCTGCAAGCTCCTGGACAGCCCAGGCGTGCTGAGTGACTATTCCATCTGGGTGATTATTATTCACATGATATTAATTAATTATTAATTGAAATTAATCTCCTTTATTCCTAACCTTCCTCTGGGAGGAAGGAGGGGCCTGGCAGCTGAAAGGGACAATGGGCAGGTAGAGCTGGCATTTGTGGGTGAGCTCGGGATCTTACACCATTTTCCAAGGCCCCACCTTCAGCCAGGACAGGAAGGAGAACAAGCCTGTCTGCGTAATGGGGGAAACTGAGGCAGGAGAAAGCACTAAGCTGTTCCAAGAAAGCCCGCTGAGGGTGGCTCCAGTAAGAACGTGGGAACCCTGATCCCAGACTGGGCTCTTAGCTGATTCTCCCTGCCCCCAACTGCCCTGCCCAAGCCCCATTTCGAGCAGAACCACTAGCTTTGGCAGGAGGGGAGACGGGGCTGGCGGAAGGCTGACCCAAAGCTGCACTGAGACCTGGGCATTCTGGGGTCCCTGAATGCTGAGGACAGGGATCCCACGATGATGGGAGGGGGCCCTGGAGCTGGGGCAGGCCTGGTGCTCCCGGCTAGTGGGCTCAGCACCCACCTGATAGCCCATTGTACAGACGGGGAAGCTGCTTCACCACCAGTGCCAGCTGCTGAGGGGGTGCCCAAACCCTGCCTACCCTGGGGTCTCCCATGGGCCCGCTTCAGCCCCCTGGGCTCACCACCCAACCCCACTCACCGGGCCCCCTGGTGGCTCCTGGCGGACCCTAGTGTCCAGCTGCTGCTTTCGGACCTCTCCCCCGGAGCTCTCCCTCACCAGACGACTGGGTTCTGTGACCTCGGGGGCTTCTGGACCCTCCACCTGGGGTGAGCCTCCCCATCGCAGAGCTCCAGCAGGATCCAGGGCCCCAAGACCTGGGGATACAAGGCCATAGTTGCAGGCAGATGCCCACCATGAGGCAGGAGGCTTGGGAAACGGTGGGCACACCGCGTCCTCGACTCTGGTGGCCCCGGAGCCCTGGGGTGATCCAGGTGGGAAGATCTGACTGCCCTGCATGAGGAAGCCCAACGGGGAGGGGGCCAGGAGCTTCGCTCCTGCCCAACCGTCACGACTGCCCCCCCACACCCAAACCCGCAGAGACCTGCAGAGTCGGCCGGCAGGCGGCAGGGGGATGGACGCGGTGGGGCCGGCCAGAAGGGGACAGGTGGGTGGACGCACCTTCCCTCTTCTCCCGCTCCCCCACCCTCCCGCGCTCTGGACCGGCTGTCACCCGGAGCACTGCAGGAAAATGTGGCTGCAGCAGAAACCGCCGCAAAACCGGGGGCGGGGGGTAGGGAGGGGGCGCCGGGGCAGGAGCCGGGCCGGGCGGGGGTCACTCACCGGGCGCGGAGAGCAGCGGCAGCAGCAGCGGCAGAGCCGCGAACGCCCAGCGCCGCAGCAGCCTCATGGCTCGCTCATGTCCTCCCGGTCCGGGGGCTGCGGCTGCGAGCGGCGCGGCGGAGGGCGGGAGCGGGGACGGGGGCGGGGAGGCGC